CTCTCTCTCTCAGCAGGAGGTCATGTGACTGAATAATAAATGTCTGACGGGTCATGGCCCAGCAACATGAGAACCACACACAGGTCAGCGGCTGATCATGTGACATCTCGGGTTCTGTTTACAGCTGAGGAGACTTTAAAGCATGTTGACCTCCTGAGGGCCCACGTGAAACCAGAACCTGGTGGTTCTGTTCCAGATCACTCAGAGCCAAACGACACAGATAAAAGAGTGTGAAGGGATCTTGTCCTGTTCCAGAGACCCGAGCAGGTCCTAACGACTTCTCATTAGGGCCATCAGAAAACTGAAAGACTGCCAACAATCCAAAAGTCACCACTTTCTGCTGATCCACTAACCAGTTCATCTGATCACTGTTTCAGACCTGCACAGGACAGACTGTTAGCCTTTAGCATGATAGCCTTTAGCATGATAGCCTTTAGCGTGATAGCCTTTAGCGTGATAGCCTTAGCATGATAGCCTTTAGCGTGATAGCCTTTAGCGTGATAGCCTTTAGCGTGTAAGCCTTTAGCATGATACCTTAGCATGATAGTCTTTAGCGTGTAAACCTTTAGCGTTTTAGCCCTTAGCATGATAGCCTTTAGCGTGATAGCCTTTAGCGTGATAGCCTTTAGCATGATATCCCTTAGCATGATAGCCTTTAGCATGATATCCCTTAGCATGATAGCCTTTAGCATGATATCCCTTAGCATGATAGCCTTTAGCGTGTAAGCCTTTAGCGTTTTAGCCCTTAGCATGATAGCCTTTAGCGTGATAGCCTTTAGCATGATAGCCTTTAGCATGTTAGCCTTTAGCATGTTAGCATTAAGCATGTAAGCCTTTAGCATGTAAGCCTTTAGCATCATATCCTTAGCATGATAGCCTTTAGCGTGTTAGCATTTAGCGTGTTAGTTGGAGTTATCCAATCAGCAGCGGCGTGTATATGGGTGTATTAAAAAGGCAGTGAAGCGCCTGCGTACACAGCAGGGTGACGAAGGCGCCGCCGTTTCCCTTTAAAATGCTTGGCTACATTTAGTTGGAGCAGAACTCCGACCCAGCTTTGAGACGCTGCTGAGGGCTGCCACGTGATTGGCTGTCCGTTCCTTACTGCTACCTTGTGAGTACAATCTATTTGATAAGTGCAACGAGATGACTTCTGTTACGAACGGGCGAAGAATAAATGAAAGCGAGGGGAAGCCTTGTTCCTGAGGTTAAAGTTGCCGTCCTGTTTAAACTCTGCAGAACATTTCCACCAGCTTCAAACTGAAAGCCGCCGTCAGACGATAAAATATTGATGAGGTTTGTCGCAACACGGAGCCTCTCTGACATCAAGGTGTGATTAAATAACCTGACGACTGCGTGTGTGTTTACACGCTGTAACAAAGACTCACTTCCTGTCAGTGAACACATGTCGGACCTGCAGAAACACAGAGAGAACGCCAGCTGCCGCCTTCAGCCCAAACAACGACAGAAGAGACGCAAAACAGCCGTTTCATGGCGTCTGAGGCCCGGCCAATCAGCACGCAGATCACCAACGCGCTCGACCGTTTCTGTTGTTTGAATCCAGCCGAAGCAAAGAAAAACACCTTCTCTAGGTCAGAACACCTGCAGCTCAACAACCAATCAGCCTGCTGATGTTTGATGACCGCATCTTCTGAGACGGTTCTTCCTGCTGCCCTGAGTACTGCCTGCAGGGTTGCCCTTCAGGCTCCAACCAGCGCTGCATGCAGCCTGAGAGGCAAAACCCAGGGCTGACAGGTTCCTAACTAATGATGACCCGCTCCGATCTTCTCTCAGACCGACTCTGCTGCTGCTTCCTCAGACTCTTTTCTGAGGCGGCGGCGTTTCCTGAAACTTCCTCTTCACTTTCAATAATCTAAAGAAAACGTTTAAAAGCAAGAAAAAGCTGTTCATGTTTCAGGCAGAGCTCTGGACTCTAACAGCAGCAAGTCATTTCTTAACTTTGTCTCCTGTTTCCTCTGACCATCACTCGCTGCAGCCCGACAAGACGAGCGGGGCTCCGGCTCCAGTTATTTGCTTTACTAAACAGTAAATAAAGTAAAGTAACTCCTGCTCACACGAGGCAAACAGCGACAGCACAGAGAAAATGAAGCGAAGCGTTAGAGGCTGACAGGAAGTGCTGCTGAGGGCGGACAGAAGAAGAAGAGATGTGATTTCATTTTCCTCTGACAGACGCAGATTTGATCCTCAAACTGAATCAAACTACAACTGAAGAGATTTACTCTACTGAGCGCGCTCAGTGCAGATGAGGGTCACCGAGAGGTCAGCGCGCTCACAGAGGAAGATTAATGATCTGTGAGCTGCTGCAGGACTGAAAGGCAAACACGCAGAAGCGGACCTGGAAAAACCCACACGGTGAAACTCTCTCGTCACAAACGGACGCACATGGTGGCGTTTAGCGCCGCTGCTCGGCGCTACAGTAGGCCTCATATGAAACACAGAACAGCCAGCGTGTGGAGGAGGGTGGGCTGGACGGAGGGCCCGACTTTGAACCAGGTTCACGGCCCCTGTGAAACAAAAAGTCAACATGAAAGATGTTTATTTAAGTTACATAAATTGCGTTGTTGACGTACGTAGTTATTTTAACCCAAACCGCGATCTCTTCCCGTCCTGAAGGACTCTGTGCCTAAACCAAACTGCAGCGTTTCACGACTTCAATAACGTGCCGTTTCAAAGTAGCGATGTTTCGAAAGTCTAACCGGACGCTGCATATTTGCTGTTGCTAAGCGTTGCTAACTTGACCGCGGAGCCTTAAACGTCTAAAAATGAAGCAAAAGGGGGACACAGGGCGTTAGAAAGCGACGCCACAGAGCCTTGACCCAGCGTCCAAATGTGAGGAGTCTCTCACTTGCGTCTTTGTCCCGCCCACCGCAGATTCATGGAGAGACGCAAGGACACCAAGCCAGGAGAGAAGGAACGAGGAAATGTGTTTGTAGAGACATGTGATGACGGCGGCAGCTGATCACAGCTGATCTAACAGCTGGAGAGACGTGTGAGGGAGTTTGTTTGTGTGCAGCAGGATCCTGTTTAACAAACACCTGCACATGAAGAATTTCAGCTTAGTGCACGTCCTGCTCCGTCTGCAGAGAAGCCATTTTCAAAATAAAATACCCCGTGCAGACCCCCGACCGTATGTTCACATCAAACACAGTTTAAACAGACAGAAGGAACTTTTACCTACGTCATCAAAACATTTCTCACTAAATCAGCAAAATCTAAACATCGCTCAACAACGCTCTTATTCTGAAAAGCTCCCAGTGGGCTCTGCAGGTCTTGTGGTCTATGATCAGAACCAAAGCGGGTCACACAGAGCTGTGAAGAAGGTCGAAGAAGCACAAAAAGGACAAGTCGTTAACGTGGGCAGAATTCCCATGATGCTTGGCGGTGAAAAGAGTTTTGCTATTTGTTTGAAATACAAAATGTACTTTTCTTTGTTCTTTTTAAACGTGTCTGTTTAGAGTAAAGTGTTTTCTGTTGGTCGTTGTGTTCTTGTGGTTTTTTCTGGCGGCTGCAGGAAACCAGGAGTGAAGCGTCCGTTTCATTTGAAGAGCGGCTGCACTGACCGATGAAAGCACATCTCTTGTACGGTCGTGTCTACGGGAAAATAACGTCGCGTTTGCGGCCACGCAGGGGGCCCCTACCTAGCCGGGGCCCTGGGTCGGCCGCCCCCATGCACCCACGCTATCTCCGCTTATGGCTTTCAGTTTATTTCCTCTTCTAATATCCTTCAACACCACTGCGTACACTTTATTTGTGCAGGTCACATCGTCACCGATCGATCGCTGCATATTTGTTTTAGCGCAGCAGCTTCATTCTTTCTTTCATCAGCTGATTCTACTGGCGGCGGCGCCGGCTGCTTTCATCAGATGCTTCGGTGCAGTTTAGCGTTCGACTCCTAACCTGTTTTCTCTGCGTTACCGTCGTCTGTTTGGACTAAACTGGGGAACGAGCACGATCACTGAGGGAAAACGGGTTTCTTGCCGACAGGCATAATAAAAGCTGACGGGAGAAAGAAAAGAATCTAAAACAGGCTAAATGAAGAAAGTTGTGTGGGGTTTTGTTGGTCAGACCTACAGTGAACTCAGATTTTAACTAGACGGTGAATCAACAAATCAAATATAGCCGAACACTTCGCAGCGATGCACTGGACTTTAATGTTTCTGTCCTGATGTCCAATCAACAACGGCTACCCAATAAGTGGGCGTGTCTGTCAGGAGAAGACTTCCGCGAAGGCGCCGGTGTATCCTCGCTCCTCGCTCCTCGCTCCGCGCAGCTCTGGGACGGCCTGCAAGATGGCGGAGCGAAACAGCTTCCGGTTCAAGCGAGGAAACGACCAATAAGAGATTTGAGAAGCAGCCTGTAGTTCTCCCAGGACACTCTTCCTACAGCAACATTAACCACTGGTTTTATTTTGAAATCATTTGAATTATTTTGGTTTTATTTTATTTTGAAAGTCTAACTGGACTTTGCATCTTCCTTCTTGCTAACTTGATGCCAAAGAGTCCGCAGGGCGTTAAAGAGCCATGACTCAGTCTTTAGGTTCATGTTTACACCTGCGGCAGGTTGTTAAAGGAACCAGGTGACACCCACGTGATCAGCATCAGGTTTCATGTGTCTCACGTTTCACCTTTCTGCTTCACCTGGAACACTTTCACACTAGAGCAGCTGACGAAGAGCAAAAAGCTGACAGGAGACGAACTCTCTGCAGTCAGCTGATCTCTGCTTTTACTGTTGTGCCAGTGTAAAGTTTAGACTTCTGTGAAAGAAAAGAGCTGTAAGGAGCAGCCAGACGGAGTCTGAGCTTCACCTGCTGCTGCTGTGATCTGATCAGCAAACTGCGGTCAGCAGCAGCAGCCAGCAGGTCAGAGCAGAGCCCTCTGATTGGTCCACAGACAGGACAGGTTTGGGAAAGTTCAGCACAGAGACAAACCGGAAGTTCACACCTCTGTAACAAACACGAACCAAACTTTGCTCTCAGCATCACCTACCCCAGCGTTGTCATGGTGACGATGGTGTACCAGAAGGCCGCCGGGATGCTGGTGAACTTGCTGGCCGTGGAGCCCTTCTCAGCGTAGAACATGACGGTGGCGAAGATGATGATGGCCATGGTGAGGGAGAAGAGCAGGAAGCCGAGCTCCGACGCGCAGCTCTTCAGCGTGTAGCCCAGGATGCGAAGTCCCGCAGAGTGCCGCGAGAATTTGAAAATCCGAAACACCCTGAAGACGCGCAGGGTGACGAAGGCCCCGCTCACGTCCTCGTTGTCCGTCATGACGAGGCCGATGTAGTAGGGCATGATGGCCACCACGTCGATGACGCTCATGACGCTCTTCACGAACTTGTAGCGGCTCGGCGCGGCGAGCAGGCGCAGCAGGTACTCCACCGTGAAGATCATGACGCACGCGGTGTCCAGGCAGAAGAAAGCCAGCGCGTACCGCTCGCCGCACGGCTCGTCCTTGAGGCGGTGCGGCGAGGCACCGCACGGGACCGTCTCCACCACGTTGGCGAGCACCGACACCGCGATGAAGAAGCCGGTGACGTAGTAGAACACCAGCGCCATGGTGGAGGTGTGCGGGTTCTCAAAGGCGCGCCACATGGTCTCCCGGAAGCTCAGGTCCGCCGGGACCAGGTCGTTGCTGTGGTCAATATCCTCGTCGTCCTGGATCCGCTCCTGGTTCTCCCGCCGCCGGTCCTTGTACTCCTCATAGCAGCAGTCCCCGATGATCTCCGGGATGATGCCGAAGAACGCGAGCTCCTCGTCGTACGCGGAGATGCACTCCTGCCGCGGGTAGTGCAGCTTCCCGGTGCGGTAGAAGTTGAGGATGTGGCGGAAGATGTCCGGGTCGCGGTCGAAGAAGTACTCGTTGGTCTCCTCTTGGAAGAAGAAGTCCAGCTCCGTGCTGCCCAGCAGGGTGTCCGGGTACCGGTCCAGAGTGTCCCGCCAGGTCTGAAACTTTGTGCCGCTCACATTCAGCATGATCAGCCCGTCCTTCCCGCGGGGCTTGCTCTTCGGGGGCACCGGCATGGGCGCGCCGGCCACCGGCATCCACCCGATGGCCGCCGCGCGGGCGAACGGCAGCCACGCCGCCACACCTGCTGCCATGCTGGTCCTGAAGCTCTACGGAGGCTCGTTAGACGGGGGGTTCACGGAGCGACGGAGCAGCGAGGGGGCATCTGGAGAGGGAAGACGGAGAGCCAGGCAACAGATGGAACCAATCCAGGAAAAAGGAGGATTTTACGCACAGAAAAAACGTTCAGAAATCAGCGTAAAAACCAACAAATCCACATGTGGTCGGTAAACCAGGACTCGGTTTCTGCTGGTCTGGACGCGTAAAAGCAGCAAACAAACGCTCACAGGCGGAAACAACTCTCCACAAGCTCCGCTTCTCTCATTTAATCCCGTTTCTCGGTGAATTCTCTCCGCGCGGTGTTGGTAGTATTTCCTCCAGCAGCAACAAGTCCAGCGGGCATCAGGGTAATCCCGCGCTCCAGACCCGGACACGGAGCGGACACAGATCCGCCGCAGGCATGCTCCCCTCCGGGGCTCCCCGCCGGAGTCTTCCGCTCCCCGAACTGATCCCGCAGTGAGCAGCCCGCTGCGACAAGAGTGTTTCCCGCGGACAGAGGGGACCAAGCAGCCGCTCCGGCAGGAGAGCCGAGCCGAGCCGAGCCGAGCCGTAGCGGAAAAAAACAGAAGATGTTCGGCTGGAAGAGGCTCGTTCTCCGGTTACACAGGTGCTGCTGGATGGAGAGGCGGACAGCACGTTTCTCTCCCTCTCTCTCTCTCCCTCTCTCTCTCTCCCTCCCTCTCTCCCACTCCCTCCCCCTCTCTCTCCCTCTCTCTCCCTCCCTCTCTCGTTGGGGGCGTGTCTGAGGAGAAGCCCCGCGGATCAGACGCAGACTCTTTACGCACGGAGCGCCTCCAGGGGGAGAAAGCTGCGGCTCCGTTAACGTGTTGCGGGACACATGGTGCTTTTGTGTCGGGGTGTGTTTGATAATCAGCCCCGGGCGGTGACAACAGACAGGTCCGCGCGCTCCCGCTAGGTGGAGTTTTTTTCAGGCAGCCACAGGGAGCGCGTGCGATGTCTCCATCCAGGTTTGTGTGTTTTTCCTCCGTCAGCAGGATCCAGATCTGTCACATCACCAGCTGCTGCCAGAAACCCCAGTCCGGGTCCTTAAAGTCCACCTTCACTCAGTCCCTCTCTGCTTTTCATTCTAAGCTCAGACGCAGTGAAACTACCAACCTGCAGCTGGGGCTGATGTCAAAGGTCAAACATGTTCAGCTTCCTCTTCCTAAACAGTTGTTATTGTCCCAGCTGTTGTACCAGGCACAGAGATCTGTGAGGAGGGTTTGTGCAGACACCGGTTTAAGGCTGGGGGGTTTGAACAGCTCCAGCTCAGTTTATTCACAACACTAAAATAGGATCAGCAGAGATAATGCAGCAATCTGAAGCTTCACTGAGCAGACGTGTTCTGAGGTCCGATAAATAAAGCACATCACGCAGATACAGCGGAAAAATAAACTCACACGGGTCAACACACATTTGCATGAGCTCAAGTGGAACAACGAACAATAATACTTCCCCCACAGAGCGACGTTCTTTCTCTGCCATAATGGACAAACAGAGCGGATGTTTGTTTGTGTTCTCCGTCGTCCCGTTCGCCAGCCGTGTGGGAGGCTTTGAACTTCCTGTTTCAGAGGTCTGCTTCACGTCTTTAGTTGCGTGGCTCATTCCTGTCAACACTGGGATTCCAAAATAAGGGGAATAATAAATTCATTTGTATCGATGATGAATAATTCAGACAAGATTCAGGTTTGCAGCTTTGTTTCTGTCACCACATCACATTCATGCAAGTTCAGGTCCGTTAAACATCCACGACCCCC